ACCGGCCACCACACCCACATTTATACCCTGTGGGGTGTGGTCCAGTGACTCAGCTAATCTCTGGCACGCCTTCCCCTCTGCTGCGCACGCTTCTCCCTGTGCCGCTGTCGAGGATCCAGCCAGCACTTATCTCCTTCATCGCTGTCCACCTGTGGCTGCGGGGACATGCTTGGCTCGGGGCCTATCTCTTGGCCTTCGGTGTCCTCCGGAGGCATTGCCAGAGAGGAGGGTCCTGGAGAGGGAGGCCTTGCCAACTCCTCTCCCTCACTCTCAGAGTCTGCATCTGTTGATAGCCCAGGCTCAGGCAACGGAGCCACAACACTGGGACTCGGGAGGCAGAGAATAGAAGGGGGTGGGGCCAGTCAAAGGTGGTATTTACCGGTTCTCCGAACTACTCAAAATTTCCACTACCGGTTCTCCAGAACTGGTCAGAACCTGCTGAAACCCACCCACTTCTGGTTCTTACATATACCTAAAGCCACTTTTAAAACATGCAACCCTCTTCTCCACAGAAAATGTCAAAAGGCCTTCCTTTTCTTAAATCTTCGTTTCCTGTAAGTGAGCTTAATTGGATGCCCTCAGATGCTGGGTTTATGAGGAAAGGTTAGCCTTCTCAGGCACCAAAACCAAAGTTTCCCCTCTAAGGAACCTAAAACCTTTGTGTCCTAAGCATCAAGTCAGACATTCAGTGCAAAAAGTCGGAGCTTTTGCAAGTTTTTTTCTTGAGAGTTTTGTAAAAGCTCTTAAGGGAAGCTGCAGAATATTATACCTCCCATCTTAAAACAAAATTAAGCCCTAAGCCCCTTTTCATGTGAATGAAACATAAATTCAGTACTGGAAGTGTCTCTGGGAGTAATAATAATTTTAAAAAGACAAAATACTGTGTTTTGGCTGAATGGCTATGTTTAAACTTGCTCCTGAGAGAAATAGATAATTCCTTGAGGATGCTACTGTTATGTGCCATCATTTTGCTGAATTCTTAGCAACTATGTAGGCAGACTTTCTGCAGAATTATTTATTTATTTAGCGTATGGCTGGTCACACACAATATTAAAACACTTCATTTTTACAGGTTAAAACAATTTAAAAAAGAGCAGTAAGAAAACGTAAGAGGAAAACAGAAATAACATTTCAGAGTTTAATGTCGAGTTTGGAGATCCAGTCAGTAGCTGTCGTTGTTACGCAGAGGAAGTTCCTAAAATCTCCTGGATACCTTCTGTTGGAGCATTCCCTCACTATGTGTTGGATAGTCTGTCTGGGGGCCCCGCAATCGCATTGTGCTGAAGGTGTCGTTCCCCATTTATACAAGGAGTCGGCACACTCCCCATGAGTTGTTCTAATTCTACTGTATGTCACCCATATGAGTCAGGGTAGATTAAATCCTGGAGGTATACTATTAGGATTAATATGCTCAGAAATATCTTGGGGGGAATAGCTACTCCACACTTCCATCCACTTTTGTGTGGTGTTCTGATGATCGGCCAGCATCTTAAGCACTGTTGAGAGTGGTGGGTTTCTTGACTTTAATCGGCATCATGAAATGTAGCCATGAATGGGTAGAGAGGAATTTAACAGGATCTTACTATACTCCCGAATGAGAGCTTCTTGTCATCGTAAGTGCGGGGGAAGTATGTGACTAAGAACTGGTAGCCAGTTTATTGCTTTATCTGCAGAATAAAGCCATTGTTTTAATGCACATTTTTATTCTAAAGGGCTCTTTCCACATCTACTGATTGAGTCCTTTTAGATCTCCAGTTGTTTAGACATTCCTAGTTTTTGAGTACTACCAAAAATCTAGTAAATCCTAAAATACAGGTTCAGTGGCCACTTTCCCCAGCAAAAGTAGATAGGTTTGAGGATAATGTGTGTTTGGAGGGGTGTTTGATGTACTAAATCTATAAATTGTTACTTTTCAAAGATCCTTTCAAATGCAAGGCATATCATTTTGGACCTCATTCCCTGCCTTCAGAGAAAAGAGTTACACATGATTCCTGTTCTGCTGTTGTCTTCTATGGAACTCAATAGTTTTCTGATAGATGTGAGGTATTTAGAAGGTAAGTATCCAAAATCATTAGCAGGTTCATAATGTATATTTTGCAGTATGGCTGTCTCAGGAATTCTGGGAGTTGAAGTCCACAAGTCATAAAGGGGCCATAATTCCCCACCTCTATTCTAGGGGCTTCGAGGCAAAATTTGGTTGGAAGGTATGAGATGAGACAAGCCCTTTGGAGCAACAGATGTGCCCCTCCTCCTTCAGTAGTAATCAGTTATCACCTTTGCTGAGACTTGATTCATTTAATAATAAATCACATGATTAATTGTGGCCAAACATTTGAGAATCACATCATAAAGGCAAATAGACTTGGCTATGAGCCGTGGTGGTGCAGTGATTAGAATGCAGTTTTGCAGGCTGACTATGCCAACTGCCAGGAGTTCAATCCTGACTGGCTCAAGGTTCACTCAGACTTTCATCCTTCCGAGGTTGGTAAACTGAGGTCCCAGATTGTTGGGGGCAACAGGCTGACTCTGTAAACTGCTTAGAGAGGGCTATAAAGCCCTGTGAAGCGGTATATAAGTCTAAATGCTATTGCTATATACAGAATTCTTCACACCTGAACAGCCTCTCTTACCTTTCCTACAAATGAATTTATATCCATGGCAGAACACCAGGATGGATCATTTCTTCCATCCCTAAACTGGCTGTGCTTGTTTGCTTTTGCAAAGTCACACTGCTTCATCTGTTTCTTATGCAGATGCTTTTGATCTTCAACCTTCCAGCCTGGCTTTGAAACATAAAATTAAACAAATTGCGTAGAAAAGTTTTAAAAGGGGGGGGGGGGGGCGCAAAGCGAGCCTTTGTTGGTAGGCGCATGGCAATTTTCTCTTTCTGTTCTGCCATGGCATTAACTGGCCAATTGCTTGATGTACAAGGACGGCAGAGGCAGGAGTGCTTGAAGAGCAGCTACAACCGGACGGTACTCGGGACAGGAGATTTGGGCCTTTGCTGGCGAAATCCTCTTTTCTTCATGGGCCAGAATTGCCACAGACCGCCCGATGACGCATTCCCTTCTCTGTTCTCAGGGAGATCTCAGATAAACCACCCCTATCAGCTGGAAGCATCGCCTTTTAAATAATAGTTTCAGGCTGCTGGTCTTAGCCTTCAGCCCACAGTAAGAAAATAACTGGTTGATTTCCAAATGAGGAACATTAAGAGCCCAATGGAGATGGAAAGATACTCTGGGTACTCCCTTGAGTTCATTTGGACTGTAGCCTGGAGACATGCAGAGGTGGGAGGTGGCACGTAAAACAGTCATCGCCCTGCCTTTCCAAACTGAGATTGCCCTCTGGTTAGCAATAAAAGTCCTCTTAACTCATCCCCTGCTTCCCTCCCCCCACCCCCACAAATCCCTCTGCTCTAAAGACTCCTGGTCGCAATTACCCCCCCCTTTTTTTTTTTTGCTAAAGGCTCTTTGAAGACAAGACCCTTCATCTCTTCAATCCAACTGACACCTCACAGCCATCACTTATCATTTTTTTTAGCTTCTGAAATTTGGGAGGGGATGGCTAATTGCTGACTTCAGCTCTGGTATCTCTCCACCCACCCACCCCCACCCCACGTGTAGTTTCCTGAGTCATGCCACCTAGATACCAGGGAATAATTTTTCTAGAGCAGGGAGCATTGGCATGCTTCCCTACTTGGCATGGAGAGCTCTGATGGAGATTTCAAACACGAGCTCATTCCAGTCTTGAAATCAGCCTTCTGCAGGGAGGGGGTAGCTGAAGCAACTTAATGTGACTGCACCAGGACCTGATGCACTCAAGCAATGCAACCAAAGGCATACATTAACCTGGGACAGAATGTCCTGCTCGAATAACTCTGAGCAACCTGGGAACACAATATGCTATAAACACCGGGAACGCTAAGCAGGTATTCTGACTGAACACAGCTTGGATGACAGGCTGCTGGTGATCTCTGCCTCGTGCGCAGAGATTCTCGGAGGCTAAGGAGGACGTTCTAAAATGAAAAGCGCAACCCAGTGAGCAAATCATGAAATAGGCACCGCATCATCCCATACAGTGCATCCGTCTGCAGATCCAGGTGGTAAAGGAGACCTGAATTTAGCTTTCTCAACCACGCAGTTCTCTTGTTGTTATCTCAGCCCACTGAGGAACAGCCAGTATCATTGTTGTAAAATCATTCAAAATAATCTTATTGTACCTGGTGTTCTCCAGATTCATGGGACACCAATGCCCATATATTGTGCTGGGGAGGATAGGAGTCTAGATAAACACAACTCAAAGCAGGGATGGGTTCTACTTACCTTTACTACCGGTTCGCAATGGGGCAGTGTGCGTGCGCTTGCTCCGCTCGCGTGCGCGCGCTTCCTGTTGACATCGGGGTCGGTGGGCGGAGCCTCCTGCCGGTTTTACTATTGGTTCTATAGAACTGGTCCGAATTGGGGACAACCCACCACTGACTCAAAGGCTCCAAATTGGGGAAGACTGCTACCTAGAACATCCACCCAAACCAAAGCCAAGTATCAGCTTTGTCATTTAACCAGAAAATATTTGAGAGAGGAGTGGGGTAACCCATCCCTGCAGAGGGATTCCATTCCCCCCCCCCCAGGCCATTTGCTTTCAATTTTAGTAGTTTTCTTAACAACCAGTGATGAGCCATCTGAACTATAGTGCCAAAATATGTCAGTAAAGCACGGTTTGGGTCTTTTTTAAAAAACAAAAAAACAAAAATTTTAAGCCATCTCTCACTATTTTACATTTTTTAGAAAGCACTCCCAAGAAGAAGGAGAACAGTGTTTTTGACAAATGATGCCATTGCACTGGGAATATATATTTTTACAGTCCTAAATTCTAGAAAAGGCTGTTTGCTGCTGCCACAGTCATTCATCATCTCTAAGTAAATATAATAGGATCACTTCAAGTGACAACTTGCAAGTTACGTTTTTAGGCCTGGATGATTACACAAAAGTAGCTCTGGACCATTGCACAGGACAAGTAGCAAGATACTTTTTAATGGGTAAAAGTGATCAGGGTTACAAAAATGTCTTAAAGGAGAAGTAAGCCATCTATGTCCCTTCGTCTTCTATCTAAAGGATTATTATGGGGAAAGTGCAAAGTTATCGAAGACTCTTGCAGGGAATGAATAAATCCTTTTCAGAAATCCTCTTTACATTTCATTATGTACAATATGTATGAAACAGCCATAAGGTGCGCTCCTTCTTCTATAAAGCCCACTCAATACCCACTCACAAAATAATGGGATAATAAGAATGTGCTCAAATCGACGATGGTTCTCTTATTTGCTGATTGCCTTGTCATCTTCTGGGCTCTGATAAGCTCCTGAAAAGATCTCCTCTGCACTACCACCAATGTCCCAAGGAACTTATGTTTGGGTGGGGGTAGAGCAAGGACAAGTGGAAGACGTGATATAGCAGAAGCACATGTGCAAGGAAAGCAAACAGTGGTTCTACCAGTGATTGGGACCAGAGCATAACCAGCTCCAACATTGTCCTTGGTTAAGCAAGACCACAAAGATCATTTTTATGAGGTTCAAAAATATGCAAAATAACTGATTTTTTTTTTGGAAAGAGATCCTCAACTAGAAATTGGCAAATTAAATGGGTAGGCCAGATAAAATGATTTCAGCAGGGGTGCCTCAACGGTCTAGCCAAAATGAAGGCCCCTAAAGAATACCAAGAAATTTCAGCAGATAAAATCTTTGCGGGGGCAGATATAAGTAGAAACAACAATATGCAGACTAGGATTGTGCCAGAACTCTGAAATTTGGAACAATTCGCATCATACAAAATGAACTTCACATAAATTTTCGGGATTTTTTACAACCTGCTCACTTTGGATATAGCAAACTTAAGTTTCTGACTATTTCATTTCTTCATTTGTTCGGTTTTAAGTTAAAATCAATAGTATTTTTTTTTTCTCCTCAGTGTTCTTTCCACTATTGCTACACTAATTTCAGTATACATATTGAAAGCAGATGAAAGCAAGGGAAAGACTAGCATATATACCAGTTTACCCTAAGAGCATGTGTATATAAATACACACACACACACGCACACACACACACACGTGTATGCTCACACACACACACACACATACACACATGGCTGCATCGGGAGCTCAAGTAGACCAGTGGGTGAGCAAACGCTCACTTGACGCAATAAAGCTCGCTAAAGGACTGAGAGGTTACTTCTCTTTCCTCTCTCCTTTCTTGCTTGTTGTATTATTATAAATCTCTCTCTTTCTCTTTCTAAATATATTTCTGTTTTATCAGACACAGGGCCTAGAGGCTAAGCCTCGACTGCTCAGTCTCGACTGCTTCCAAAGATCTGCAGGAGAAAAGAAAATATGTAGATGATGTCCAGGTATATGTTGAGGGCTCCAAAGATGTATTCCTCTGGACTCATGGCATAGCGACGGTTCCCCATCAGGAGCTGGGTATCAAAGGCCAGGAACTAAGGAGGAAAAAAGCAAACGCAGACAGTGATTAAAATGCAGTCTTTTGGTGTCCAAGGCGTTGGATGGAGAAAATTGGAAGGTTGTTGGTTCCCCAATCCCTACACCCAAATCCCATAATTTAAGTAAGAAGAAAAGAATTGGCAGAGATGTATGAAAAAAAAATGTGTGTGAAACCTATAGTCCTGTGCATAGACGTTCCCAGATACTTCTCTTGGAAGTGCAGCTAGATTCACATCCAGTGGTGGGATTGAATGGTGGGCCAGCTAGAATTTTAACAACCGGTTCCCCCAAACCAGCTGAATCCCACCCCTCTTCACATCCGTGAATATTCAGCTTCTCCTACCCAACTCTGCTCTTCACTATGGAGGTTCCCTTGGCTTGGATTATAAATTGAGGATCTTCTCCAGCCATAGGCCAACCGGAGCTCCAGTATGTTCAATGATAGAGCAAGAACATGGAAAAGGAATCATACAGTCCAGTAGATGTGTCCTGATTTCCGTAGCTTGGTTGAACTAGGCTTAATTTTATTGTGGTTTGTCCAAACAAACCAGTGGCTAGGTGCACACAATATGCCAAATAAAATCAAACCATGCACTATGACTGATGCATATTTATTGGCAGGTCAGAATTTAAATATTAAAATAAAAAAAAATGGGTAGGCTATTCACTAGATTTACATCCTAACTTTTCTTTGGGATCCCAGCTGGGGACTTCTACCCTGTTTCTCCCAAAATAAGACATCCCCTGATAATAAGGCCAATTGGGCTTTTGAGTGCATGGCAATAAGGCCAAGCACTTATTTCAGGGTTCAAAAAAATATAAGACAGGGTCTTATTTTCGGGGAAACACGATACCGTTCTACTTTTCCTTGTAATAAACTAATGGGGTAGAAGATATGAAAGTCTCCTTTTCTTTTCCAATAGTTTTCAAAAGTGGCATAAAGTTGGCTCCTGAGGATTCATCTGGACTAGATTAAAATTCAAGCTAGAAATGAATCTGTGGGTTATATTCTTCGCATTATTGTCACATCCATACAAGCTTCATGAAGTGGCGCTGCTAGTTCCACAACTACAAATGAAGTGGTATTAATCATATCAAACTTAGAGGATTTAAATTTCAGACACCTGCTTTTCCCACTGAACGCTCCTTTTTTTTTTTTTTAGTTTTGGTCCCTTTAAGTCATCTTTGACTCCTAGCAATTGCCAGGCTGCATCCCTGAGTTTTCTTGGCAAGACTTTGGGAGTGGTTTGCCTTTACCTGCCTGCCAGAGCTTAGACAGAGGGATTGGCCCAAGGTCACTTTTGTGCCTAAGGTAGGACTAGAATTCAGTCTCCCAGTTTCCAACCTGGTGCCTTAACCACAATACAAAACTGCTGCAAAAACATGCCCTGGCAATCGTTTATATTGTATACCTTGTTGCTGCTTCATCCCAGATGATATATGAGGCAGCTTTAAGTCCAAATTGTATTTTAGCATCATTCAAACATCATCCCAGGCGAGGCTCAAGCTAATTTTCTATTATTATTATTCTCTCTTTTATTCATTAAACATGAAACTCAGTCAACTGGACATTTAAAAATGTGTCACAAATACCATTGACTGGTGCTAATGGCTGATTTGGGTTGCTGCCAGCATCCTAGGTATCAACCAAGTATCATCTTAAAATATACAATGTTCCGAGTTCCGCTGGTGTTATTGCAGGAAGCTGCAATTTCTTGATGTGTTGTTGTTGTTGTTGTTGTTATTTTCCATTCTCTTTGCTTCATGATTGTTTCCTAAAATCCTCATTAAAGAAGGATTTTGGCAGGATTCGCCATTCATATTTGTGGTTTAGTGCCATGAGCAATCCTAGGTTATCAAAGGTGCAAAATGACATGACCAGAAAGCAAGGAGAACAGCTTTTCTTTGTTTGGAATTGGAAGTAGTAAACTGGTTTATTCCAGTATTGTTAACAGGATTACAGGAATAGGCCCGATAACCTTGTTGGCTCAAGGCACTGGCCCATTTAGCTGATATGTGTATATCTCTCCTATCGCTGAGTATTTGCGTAAGAACCACATTCAAAGGTCCAGAATTAGGAGCAGAGAAGATAAATGGAAACGGAGGGAGGGCTGGGGCCAAAAAAATGAGAAGAAAACCAGATTTTTCAGGAACCCTGACAAAAAGAGAGAAATGTTCTAGCACACAGAAGGCATGTATCTCAAATAAGGAGGTTCTTTACTATCAGCTGGCTTACTGAACAAAGAAATAGGGCTGCCAACTGTTGAGCTGAAAACACTGCTGACCCAGTGGGCTGAATCTGCCCGTAGAATATAATAGTGGACAGGGAAATGGTATATGGAAGAGGATCTGATGTGAGACCAGCCTACAACATTTTCACTGCCACACTGCCTTTTTCTTTGGTCTTTTGACCATGTCGCATTCTCTCAGCATGGCAGAGCCCAGAATAGGGAAGGGGCAAAGTCTATACAGCCAGTCTTCTCCCATGAATGTACTTGTTATCCATCCCTTCAATACATGTATGTGGCCTACAAACTTCTGGCATGTGCCTTAAAAGAAAAGTTGATGGCTTTATTGAGACCATCCATTCATTCATCCACCTGACAATAGTTCACATTTCTGGTTGTTTTGCATTGGTGTAGAAATCCAAGCAATAAAACATGACTAGGAGAGGAGATTGGCTTTTTATGGGGATAAAAATCAGGCTGAGCATACTTTCCACCCACAGATTTGTATTTTGGGAACAGCTTGCTTGAAATGGATCACTGACACAGTATACTTTCCACAATCCCCTTATGTCTATGGCACATTGTAGCCTATATTGTTTTAGCTTTCCTTGGCCTGCATGTTTTGAGATGCTTTACTCTGTTTCAGATTCTTAAACTGAAGAACGGCATTGTCCAAGGACTTCATCTTCCATTTGAAGGCAGTTGAGGGATGATGAAAATATTTTACCTAATTTCTATAAGATTATTGTAATATCGTAAAAGGGACATGCAGATCTCACTACTTTTACTCCAAATATGGACAGACCTCAGCCTTAAGTCCCAAAGGTGCTTTTTCAAATTGGACTTTTCTTTCTTTAAATTGCTGACTTAAAGGACTGAAGAACTGAAGAAGCTTCTTGGATGAGAAGTGAAACGTCTTCAAGGAAAAAAACAAAGTCCAGTTGCCTTTTGAAAAAGCACCTTTGGAATAATCATGACCAGGATGACTGGGAATCTCCATAAATCTTCAGCCCTAGGGATATAGAATGCCCCTAAGCCACATATTTCAAGCTGTCAGAGCCTCTATGTCAGCATCACCAGATTAATTTCCCATCACTTTGAAGGGGTAACATGTACATTAAAATAGGCTTCATGATGTTTAAAAAAAAATCTACTTGACAAGTCACCCAAAACAGAACCTCCTCATCCACGTCCATGATGTAACTCCAACTACTTTGCATCATCACCAAGCCCACTTTCACCCTTTGCTGCCCCTCCCTCTGCAAAATGACAACCCATATCCATTGACAGGACTAAGCAACACAAGCAATGCTGACTTACCATTGTAAATACAATTGCACCCAGAACAGCATAAATGGCCTGCAGCCATGGCACCTACAGAGAAAGAGACAGAAAGAGAAGAGACTTATTGGGGTCAAACCCAATAAGACAGAATTTAATATAACCTATGTGAGGACAGAAACATCCAAATGGCTGCTGAAAGAAGGAAGCTTTAGTTGATTCTCAAATAATGAAAAAGAAGAACTCTTTATTGGCCAAGTGTGATTGGACACACACAAGGAATTTGTGTCCGGTGCATTATCCAAAATAGAAATGTTTCTGGAAGAAGGAAAAGAACCAAGTGAGCATAATGATAGGTAGCCTTCTGGGTGAAAAATATAGGAAAGCAGATTCTAACTACTCCTAAATATTATAGGAAGCAGATTCTAACTATTTCTAAGGGTATCTCAAAGGTAGAAGTCATTCATTTGTGGCACTGGAGTCTTGAAATGGTTTTCAATTTTCTTCTTGAAATGGTTGCAAAGCTCTCCTTCACCAGCATAGCAAACAGGGTTAGGGATGCTGTATTTAACTGGGTTGAGGCCTTGATGAGACTATTATCTTTCTAATCATTCAATTATTTTGCTTTGTAGGAAGCTGGGACCTCTTTATGGACTTGTGTGCCTGCAGAATTCTACTGGTGGCCTTCTCATCCATGCTAATGGGACAAATTAAGGCTACATCTTTCAGTATCTAGTCTCTACTATTTCTATCATTATGTATCTTTCTGTGAGCATGTATGTGTAATTAAGGAGCTTCAGTGCTTTCATAGGTGCGACTAATTAAAAAGCACCATTAAATTTACTTTGGGCCTGAATAATTCAAACATGCAAGCAATATTATTTTTTCCCATTTTTGCTTCTGTTAATATTTAAGATGAATGTATGACCGGAATGTTATACATTTTTATATAGCTGATAACATCTCATTTGTACATTATCGGGCCTCGTGTAGATGACGGAAGCTTACATTCCCCTCAATCAGATTTTGAATAGTTATCGGTTTTTAGAACTACCGTGTTCAAATAAGGGGGGGGGGGGGTTGTTGGTTTGTGTATGTGTATTGTGGAAATCTTTTGTTGTTTTCTATAGGGATAGTAAAAAGGATCTGCATAGATCACACGGTAAAGCTTTTATTAGCTTGTTGCACTGTTAGGCAGCAATTATAAATGGGGGATCACATGAGTGAAGCTCCTTTATATAAAGAACCTTTCTAGCAAAATTTATTTAAGGTCAAAGACCAAATAAAAATGGGACTTGCTACCTTTTCTTCAAGTAGAAATCACATTAAGGAAGAGGATAATTTCCTCTGGGTCAAGCTAGTTCACTGTATACTGTGTTTCTCAACCTCCATTCTTTGAATGCATTCATGAATACCATTCATCATCTTGTGATCGATTGGAACTAACTTCACCTCATGATCTGTTCTAATCTGCAAACTTGCCCAAAGTTACAGTTGTGATCACGAAAAAACAACGAGAGAACGTGCTGAAAGCCATTTGGAGAAGATGGAATATTGAAATGAAACTCTTTACATACACAATTTTTTTTTAAAACAATCATTTTCACCATCTTCAACATTCCAGGAAAAGAAAACAATGCATTTTTATCTAGCCAATTTTTGTTTTCTTAGCAGCCTTACCTATCAGAGTTTTAGACTTTGGGCAAATTAAGACATACAGAGGTCCAAGATCAGAGGGATCAGATACTCTGAGGACCAGGCTAAAAACTAATGCTAACCCCCAACTTGTCTGCTGCTTCCTCTGAGGGGCGGCACTTCTCCATACTTCTCTGTTTTAATTCTAACAAATGAAAAGGAAAGCCAATCACACTCAATGGCTTGGATCAGTGGTAGGTTTCAATTTTTTTTACTACCGGTTCTGTGGGTGTGGCTTGGTGGGCGTGGCATGGCATGGCTTGATGGGCATGGCAGGGAAAGGATACTGTAAAATCTCCATTCCCTCCCCAATCCAGGGGAAGGTTACTGCAAAATCTCCATTTCCTCCCGATCATCTGGGGCTCGGGAGGCAGAGAATAGAAGGGGGTGGGGCCAGTCAAAGGTGGTATTTACCGGTTCTCCGAACTATTCAAAATTTCTACTACCGGTTCTCCAGAACTGGTCAGAACCTGCTGAAACCCACCTCTGGCTTGGATATGGTGAAAGGAATTGGTAAATGCTATTTCCAATCCGTCAATATTTTTTTTAATAGACATCTATAAGGAGAAGAAGAAATTGTTTCTCCCAGAACTTGAAAATCCCACAATAAAATAGTGTAACTCTTTTCTCCCACACCCTGTCAGAAGCCTATGGGTGGTTTTTTTTTTTTTTTAAAGGTAATAGCAATAGCACTTAGACTTATATACCGCTTCACAGTGCTTTACAGCCCTCGCTAAGCAGTTTACAGAATCAGCCTATTGCCCCCAACAATCTGGGTCCTCTTTTTACCGACCTCAGAAGGATGGAAGGCTGAGTCAACCTTGAGCCTGGCGAAATTTGAACTGCTGAACTGATAATAGTGGATATTAGAAAATACTCCCACTGCAAATGACGTCTTCTGCTACTGCAGTATGATAACAACAGAAGAATGTGAATGGAAATTCAAAATGGTTTCCAGTGGGAAACAATTAGCGATGACAAATGATCCCAGCCAACAAAGCTAATGGGAAGCCCAGCCCAGCCGAAAAACAAGCAAACAAAGTACGCCTATCAAAGGGACCTTACCACGTAGGCCAGAACAAGATAAGCTTACCCCCCACTTTTTTTTTCCTCCCATCAATATTTCTCAATATCTAGAAGGCTCCTGTGATAACAAATGGTAGAATGAAAAGTCTGTTGTTGGAGAGATACTAACCTGCCTCCATTCTACCCGTTTTTTTCCCTCTCGCAATAAATATTTGCCTCATGAGCAACTCAAAACTAAACGCAACCCAGTGACAAAACCTGCTGCCGCCAAAGTGATAACCAGGCCTGAAACACAGGTAATTGTTATGGCAAAACAAACTGAGATAAGGCTTGGGAGGAAATTACAGTTAGAACATTTAATCAGTGGAACGGCTTGCCTCCCGAAGCTGTGGGTGCTCCAACACTGGAGATTGGACAACCATTTCTCTGAAATGATATAGGGTTTCCTGTTTCCTTGAGCAGGGGGTTGGACTAGAAGACCTCCAAGGTCCCTTCCAACTCTTGTTGTTCTATTATTCTGTTACTGAGCGAGAATATATAGAAAAGAGGGTGAGAACATGCCAATTAGATACCAGGCAATTAGCAGCCCCCAGAACAGATTCTACAAACAGTAGAACAAAAGATCAGCAGAAGATGCCCGATAGGGGTTTTGGTTTTTTTTTAACTCATCTGTACTTTCCTCTCTTAAACAAGATATTCCAAAATTGTTTACCACCTCCATATGATAACTGATACTTCTCCTTTTGGCTGACAATCTGTCCCAAGCCTTCTGCCTTACACTAGCTATGCCAGCAGCAGTTGTGATAACAGCAAACATTTTAAAAAAATAGAGGAGAAAAATAAATCAAACCTAAAGAGTCTACTGACAAAAAGGAAGGGAAAATGATTTCCCTTCCAAATATCTAGTGAGGTTCACATTATTGAACCATGTTTCCTTTCTGTAGTTTGATTAGTGAAAGTAATGCAGATATGGAAAATTAATGTACAGAAAAAAATTAAGATACAGGTAGGCCTGCCCCCAGGACACTGCAACCGTCATAAATATAAGTCAATTGCCAAGTATCTGAGTTTTATTCAGGGGACCATGGCAGGGGTGGGTTCTAATTTTTTTTACTACCGGTTCTGTGGGCGTGGCTTATTTTGTGGGCTTGGTTTAATGGTCATGTGACAATTCTTTAGGATTTAGCAGAGGTACTGGTCTACCAGGCTTTTAACTGCTTGCAGAGCTGTACCAGTCTACTCATTTGTTCTTGGAGCGTTCCAGTCTACCCATTTATTTTTGGAGGCACCGGTCTACTCATTTGTTTTTGGAGACACCGGTCTACCCATTTGTTCTTGGAGCATTCCAGTCTACCCATTTGTTTTTCGAGCGCTCTGGTCTACCACCACACTGCCTTTTAACACTGATCAGCTGTAGGGTGGCCCTTTGAAGTGCCGCGACAAGAGTTTAAACAGTTTTTTTCCTTCTAGCTGATCAGCTGGGACTCGGGAGGCAGCGAATAGATTGGGGTGGGGCCAAATAAAAGGTAAGAATAATGGGGGTGGGGGGGTGGGAGGACCCAGCTCCCAAACAAAGAGAACCGGTTTGGTGATGTCATATCTCCCACTCCCGAACCAGGCCGAACCGGAAGGAACCCACTACTGGACCATGAGGATGCTGCAATGGTCATAAGTATGAAAAATGATCAGAAATCCCTTTTTTCAGGGCCGTTGTAACTTTGAACGGTCACTAAGCAAACTGTTGTAAGTCAAGGATCCCCTGTAGTGGTTTCCGTTTTTTGTTTTTTTCCTTCTAACTAAATTGCATCACTGAGTATAGAAAGATAGTTCTGCATCTCCTCTGCAACTAGACGTGGCAAAGTAACACTTGGTAGGATGCATATATGGATTGGTTGACAAAAATAGGAAACTTACATAATGGAAAGGAAGTGTAAAAGCCAGTATGATCCCACTAAACAGCAGCACCATCAGCATCACAAAGAGCACCCCCTGGCAAGAGGTAAAGTCATACTGTGGGAGAAAACAAGAGGACATTAGTATAAAATGCATGGATTAACCTGAAAGTCCCTTTGCTCCTGGATAGCCTAAATCAGTGGCTCCCAACCAGTTGTGAAATCCAAATTTTTTTACTACCAGTTCTGTGGACGTGGCTTGGTGGGCATGGTGTGGCTTGGTGGGTATGGCAGGGAAAGGATCTCCATTCCCACCCCACTCCAGGGGAAGGATATTGCAAAATCCCCATTCCCTCCTCACTCCTGGGGGAAGGATATCGCAAAATCTCCATTCCACCCCAATCTGGGGCCAGCCAGAAGTGGTATTTACTGGTTCTCCGAACTGCTCAAAATTTCCACTACCGGTTCTCCAGAACCAGTCAGAACCTGCTGGATTTCACCCCGCCCCCAACTTTTTGGGCACCAGGGACTGGTTCCATGGAGAGAGGTTTTTCCACAGACCGGAGGGGATGTGATATCGTGTGCTGCCTGCATCCCAGAGATGTGGCTTCGCTTGTTTGTGCGGTCTGGTTTCTGGCATGTCACGGACATCGGTAGTTGGGTATCCCTGGCCTAAGTAATGCGTACATCTGCCTTTCCCAAATTAATATTAACCAGATGCATTGAATCTGCCACCTTAGAGCAGCAATGAAGTTGATATCCAATGAATCTTCAAGTCACAAGATTGAGGGGGCTCCCATAAATGTTTAACGCATTGTAAGCCGCCCTGAGTCTCCGGAGAAGGGCGGCATATAAATCGAACCAATAAATAAATGAATGAATGAATGAATGAATGAATGAATGAATGAATGAATGAAAAAAATTCCCAAATATTTGCTACTTCATTTAGCACCCATATGGAATATGCCACCACTTTTTATAGCCTTTTCTACATGCTCTCTGAACATGATGTATATTATATATTGTATATTCCCTTTTATCTATAAATTCCAACATAGCCCTCAGTACTAATCAGATCAGGTCAGATCAAGAGTAGCTGCCAACACAGCATGAACAATAGAAAATGTTTGACTTGCAATGTGGAAAGAGCAAAAGACTCTTTCAAATTATTCTACTTTATTTTTATTTTCTTGCTGTTCCTGCCTGATAAAGTCCTTCTGAATGAGTGATGATATAGAGTGGTTTTTTTTTTAAACTCGTCATACTATTTGAATGACATTTTTTCCCCTCCATCTAAAAAGTTGCCGATTAACTTCATTCCCAATTGGGAGAAAATTCATTTTAACTTTTTGGTTGGCAATTTTTGAGCCAATTCTCAAATTTGGATAGGGAGAGGGGAGAGGGGCAAGTCTAATTCCGTGGAAAAGTTGCTTTTTGAGGTCACCATTATCTGCATGAGATGAGAACAGTGTAAATTTGCTCAATGATGTAAATTCTAAAGCAGGGTTCTAAACCTCAGCAACTTTAAGATGGGTGGACTTCATCTCCCAGAATCTTCTACACATGTTAAAAGTTGTTGAGGTTGAGAAACACGGCTCTAGAGTAATCACAAAATGTTTGCCTGCTAACTTTAACAAAGAAAAAACTTATCTGCTTACATAGGAGATGGTAAAATCAGAGAACTTGGTATAAATGCATTTATGTACCTTGGTCTGGAAGCTAAATATGGTGACGGAAAGGCAAACCAAAGCTGTAATGCCCAGGCAGAGGAGGACAGACGTGGTATTGTAGTAGCTGCAAAAGGAGTAATGACATGACATCGTTGAGAAGAGTCAAGCAGTCAACATCAGACATACTATAAGAAAGTCTGCTTAAAATTTATAAATTTGTCTATGGATCCATCAAATGGCCAATTTGTTGTTAATCAAATGGCCAATTTCCATCTTCAGGGTCATAGAAAACCATCTGTGGGACTTTTTTCTAATTGACCTCCAATTAATCCCAGCAATAAAAGTTCTGGTTTCAGTTGAACATTCAGTTGAACATGTAGGAACATTTCTTGTATATTAAGTGTATTTTTTAGAAGTCCACCAAGCACGATAAAAATATCTATCATGTGCACATAATAAATTCGAAGTATCTTTATGCAGTAGGGTCCTTGATGCTCTCTGAGCTTGGTGGTTTCCTTGTGGACATTTCATTGCCAAACTAATTAACATCATGATGAAGTTACCTATTGCTAGTGAAACATCAGCAAGAAAACCACCAAGTTCAGAGAGCACCAAGGACTCTACGTTGAACCTGCAAATGTTGTGTTTTATCAGAACTTTTAAACATACTAAGACCATTTTTCTGCAGTCATGTACCAATAGTGTATCATTTTGTAACAAATCTATTTTAAGTTTTAACAATGTAAATTCCAATTTTAACATATTTAAATTTTAATTTAAAACATATTTTTCCCACTGTTCCATCAGTATATTACATCGAAAGTTCTTAGCCCTAGACTTTAATAGAACTTGTTCCTAGAAAAATACTCTCAGTATTTGGAGTCTCCCATTTTACGTTAGCTTTTGTATTCTTTTGCAAAAGCTTGCTGAATAGATAGGGGAAGCATAGTGGTTATTGCCTTGTTCAGTTATCCAGGATGCTTGAGTGACAGCATTGTTTATCTGCTCTTCACATTTGCTCTCCCCATGCCATTGGTTGGCCTTTGATAAATATGGAACAATGGAAATCCATCATGTTACTCTACATGGGATTGTTATAGCAGAAACAAAGGGAGGATTATACAAAACCCAAAACAGAGACAGACTGAAAAAGAAGATTCTTACTTCCCCCTCTCTCCAATTTATTCATTTCTGGGCAGAATTAGAGCTACTATAGAGTAGTTGCATGCTATCAGCCTGATCTTGGTTGCCCGAAACGATGACATTGCAGAGGAGTAAAACTTTGGAACAGTCCTTCTGCTAACACTTCTTTTCCACTCATTAAAACCTTTCCCGACATGCATTGTGAAGCTATAAACATTGTACTATAATGCAGAATAGACACAGAAGTGTTATCTATAGACACAGCAATGTAGGTGTTTTGTTCATTGGCTATTTTATTTTGCCCATCTGCACAGGTACATTATCAAACAGACAAGACAGAGGTCCCAGAAAAATATGGTTTTCATTATTATTATAGAAAAAAGGATAGAAAATAAATTTGTAAGTTAACAATCAACCCCACGTTGAGGACTCAGTTGGGTGATCTTAAGCAATGCATAAGTAGTCCATTCCGTTAAAAACCACTGAACATTGATTTAGATGTTCTCAAGATCTTACCTTAAAATGAACATATTCCATCAAAACAGTATGAGGTTTGGTAATCTTGTAAGATTTCAATCATTATTCATTGCCAGTTATATAGCAATAGCAATAGCACTTATATACCGCTTGACAGTGCTTTACAGCCCTCTCTAAGCGGTTTACAGAGTCAGCATATTGCCCCCAACAATCTGGGACCTAATTAAATAACATTAAATTAATTTCAAGTTATAAAACAATTTTGTGTGATTTGAAATACTAAGAAAAATTAAGAGAACAAAAATAGAAAGCATTTTCTATAGCATTTGTGTAGCATTTTCCCTTTCCTTTCAGTTAAGGAGAAATACTCTTAATCTTAAAGCTTTGGCTAACCAGTATCAAACCTTGAGTTTTATTGAGAATTTAATAAATAAGTACAGAATTAGTATTTGGGACTTTATTATTATTCCTATCTTGCTACCCTGTTTCCCCGAAAATAAGACCTCCCTGGATAATAAGCCCAATCGGGCTTTTGAGCACATGTGCTAAAATAAATCTCCCCAAAAAATAAGCCCTCCCCGAAAATATTTAAATGCATGTGCAGCCGGTCCCCACCATCTCCTCTGGTTAGGGTTAGGGAGACAGAGCTGGAAATCAGATAAGATGGCAAGAGGAGCCCCATCTTGCTCCATGTGCCCCAAAATAATAAGACCTGCCCGAAAATAAGACCAACCACTTATTTCGGGGTTCTAAAAATATAAGACAGGGTCTTATTTTCGGGAAAACATGGTAGCTTCTGTGCAAACCAGAAAAAGAGTCCACGTTAGCAGAAAACTGAGCTTGATTGTCCCATTGACTTATTTTAATAGATTGTTTACCTGCCAAACAACTGCAGTTCATTGGATGCTGAGTCTAACTCAGGAAAAGGCATTGGGATAAATAGAGGAAGAGGATGGGCTTAGTTCTGAAAACAGAATATTGTGTCATAATGTCGTGTATCAATAGTACTACATGCCAATTAGGTCAAGTAAATATCATCACTTTTCCTAATGTTGGAGATGCAATATAAATGATGCTCAACCCTGTTGGGAAAAGTTGGCTAATTATAGGCAATTGATTATTGGCTACAGAATTGGGCTACAATTTGGAAACTGAAGAATAATGGTCTTAGAAAGTCTAGAAATGAAAATCAAATTATATATTTGATGTAGGCCTTGATTTTCAGAAGTTATGATTGCAGAAAAATGCAGAATGCCAGGGAAAAATATAATCACACACACACATATAAATACCCAGCATGTTATTCAGGTGCCTAGTATGGACATTTACCTGGAGATCATTCCTGTCAGGTAAGCCATGGACAGAGTCTATAAAAATAAAAAAATTTAGTTACTGCAGAAGCAAAAGATGGAAGCTAAGAAGGAAAAGGGATGTAAAACTGTTTATGGATATCATTCTTTGAGCCTGTTCAAGACAACTGAGCTGAAAGACTACATCCTACAGTTTTATCATATTCTATAACCATCCAACATTTTATGGTTTATCTCGTGGTAGAAAAATTAGGAAGAGAATAAATGAGGTTTTAGGCAAAGAAGAGGTCCTTTTAAGAAGCAATCATGCTGAACCTGGACATGTGAGGCATGAGTTGTGGTTAACTAGATAATTGTGCAATTAATGAAGGTATTGCACAGACAACTCAGGCTAAACAGCTACTGTATATGCAGGCCAGGTTCATAGGCCGAAACTCCTACTATTCTTGTTAATTGATTGATGTGCTTGGTTTATTTACTGCACCAATAAGGAGCTGGAATCTTCAGGAGTTGACAATCTATTCCTTATTGATCTACTGGATGGGTGCCACCGGTAGTGCACGCCATAATTAGTTGTGCTTGGAAATAGATGGGGGATAAACCTTTTGCCTTTTGAATTTATAGATTAATGTGGGAAGTGTGCTGTAAAAGTCCCCTAGGGCCAAGCAACTGTCCCAGCACTGATTATTAGGCTACTTACAAAGATGCTGAGGAGGATCAGGTTCCATGGGAAATACCTCCTGTGAATTAAATGAAAGGGAGCCAAGTGAACCAGGTTATCCAAAGTGCATCATCGGGAAAAGAAAGTTGTACATCATTAACTTGCATAATAAGATCATTAAAGAACAACAGAGCAATTAAAGCAATCAGGCCACAGCATGTACAATTTTGCAAGAACCCTGGTTACACAAAAGGGCCTGATATCAAGGCACGGGCCTCATTTGAATGATGGCTAAGCCTAAAAATACAGGAGTTACTGAGTGAAACATTTTTATGGCATGAAAATTAACTCTCACCTCCTAATAGCTGTGGATGGAGCTGGGCAGCTATTAAAGAGGCAGCTAGAACTGATTGAATAGCTAGCCAGCCTAATTTGGATCAAACATTAGCCAAGATATTACAGCATTGAGATACATCAGTCCTTTCAAGCAAAATAATCAGATGAATGAGAACTTTTCCTTTCCTTTCTAAGCCAATGTATAACATATATATAATAAACAGTAGACATATATAGTAGAGAACTTCCCCCAACCATAAAATGCCAAGACATAGCATTGAAATATAGGAAATGTCTTTTGATGCAACTGAAAGATAGAATCGGAGCTAGTCATGTTCATTATGTTTTTCTTTCTTTTTCTTTCTTTCTTTCTTTCTTTCTTTCTTTCTTTCTTTCTTTCTTTCTTTCTTTCTTTCTTTCTATCTTTCTATCTTTCTTTCTTTCCTTTCTTCTTTCTTTCCAGAATTTTTCCTTTTTAATCCCCTTTTCCCTCTCACAGAGTATTTCTGTGTATTGAGAACTGAGAATTTTATCCAAGACTTGCAGATGAAAAAGGTAATGACTTACCGTAGTTAAAAATTTGGTGGCCACATTTGGTTCTTTAGACAGGCCAACAAGACTAGCTCAAGTGATGTTAGAATATCCACACTTCCACTGTCGCATGGTCTCTTCCCCAAACAGAATTAACCCACCACAAACAGTCCAAACCCCTTGTGTAATTTTACCTTGGTCCAGAGCAGCAGGCAAGGATCAAATAGGTGATAAAGAAAACAGCACTAGGAGGAGAAAAGAGAAAGAGAGGGGGAAAAAAAAGAGAATGAACCAAGGGGAGGAGAGGGAATCCTGCCTGCTGTTGCTCTGAATCTTTTCTTTTTTTTCTACCTTAGATGATTATTGGTTAACAAATTCTGAGGAAAAAAGCACTATATAAATACTAGACATAATAATTCCTTCTATGATCGGGGCCTTGACGAGGCAAAGGGGCTCATGTGGGTAAATGAAATTGTGGACTATGTCATTGGACATGTATATGTACAGAAGGGTTTCCCAAGGCAAACAGGCCATGGCGGATACCCCAGACTAACAGCAATCATATCTGCCAACCTGCATTGGACCATCTTGGCAGATTATGGTCTATTTCTTCCACAGGCCAATACAATCTCAAAAACTGCCCTCTCTCGGGACCGTATTGGTTGGAAACATGTGGAAGACAATGGCTAAAATGATGAATGATCAATGATTTCTTTGACACTAAAAGGCAAGAATGAATAAATTATAACATTTTTACCAGAACCTACTGTAATTCCAAGTTGAAACTATGTAGATGCGAAAAAGGGAGAAGGCCCATAAATAGGGTAGTGTCACCAAGATCAAGAAGTTCCCCTCTCTAACAATGTCCTTAAATACTTCTCTGTGCTTTCTCTCATAAAATTAAGGAAACAGATGCTTTCAGCCTCTTATCCAACAACAGCCTTCTACCAAATCAGATGTTTTGTTCACCTGGCCCAGTTGCAGTCCCGATACCAAATTTGAGGAAGGAGGAAGGAAGCAGTATCTTTCTGTGTCTCAAATTATACAAGCCCTTCCCAACATCGATGTGTTGCCTTTTATTACAATGCTGTCCTCTACTGCTGTGAACATTATGGTACTTTTTCTGTAGTAACTAAGATAGATATTTGAAGAACAGGTCTGAAAAATGTATCCCGTGCAAAGTCTGATCCTTGTATGATAGTAGAGGAGAAAATAACAATGCTCCTTCTCGTCCAGTTTATGCACCCCAAGCCAGTTCTGCAGTTTTGATCAGCATTGTTCCACAATACGTGGATATTAAGGCAGCACAATTCTTTGGAAAGAGATGCTTTGGAACCTGCCAAAGCAGAATTTTTCAAATGTAGATGTTGGAACAATTTAGCAACTTGAAAAGCCGTGCTTTGGGAAGCTGTTCCCGGTATCTCCCACACATGTGACCACACAGCCGCGAGAAAGTGCTGTGCGGCTCTACAGCTGCACAAGGCAGACAAAAGACATGGCTGCTTTCATGAGTTGAAAAAAAAGAGCTTTGTACTATATGTGTGCCTGGGTATTCCAAAATACCCCTTTCAAATGATTTGTTCAGCTCTAGAGGATACTGTACTTTTATATAAGCTTCCTGTACTCAGCTGTCCTCCAGAAGTGTTAGATTACAATTTCCATGATCCATAGACAGTCTGCTAGCAAAAGATTGTCAGACTTGAATGTGCAAAAGCTATATTTCTATATAGAGAGCCAGTTTGGTGCAGTGGCTAAACCATCAGGCTAGAGACCGGAAACCATGAGTTTTGATCCTGGCTTAGGTACAAAGCCAGCTGGGTGACGTTGGGCCAGTCCTTCTCTCTCAGCCCTAGGAAGCAAGCAATGGCGAACCATTCCTCAAAATCCTTGCCAAGAAAACTGCAAGGACTGGAACAGGCAATCATCAGGAGTGAAAACTGACTAGAAGACATACACACGTATTATCTATCACTCTGTCTATCACTCTATCACTCTATCTATTTTATTTATTTATTTATTTGTTTGTTTGTTTGTTTGTTTGTTTGTTTATTTATTTATTCAATTTGTATGCCGCCTTTCTCTGAAGACTCAAGGTGACTTACAATGCATTTAAAAACCATATATTTAAAAACATTAAAAATTAAAACATTAAAAACAATTAAAACCCATTCACACCATATCTCTCTCTCTCCCCGTCCCTCTCTCTCTCCCCGTCCCTCTCTCTCTCTCCCCGTTCCTCTCTCTCTCTCTCTCTCTTTCTCTCTCTCTCTCTCATCATCTACAGTATGTATCTTTATTTCTCTATGTACAATATGTTGCCCAAAAGAGATTATTGATCTAAAGAAAATTAGCCTTCAACTGGATGGCTAATTTGGCATACATTTTCCAAGTCCTTTAAGATTTGTGTTGAAATTCAGACCCCATCTCAGGGTGGAAAATAGATATTTCTGATCCTCAATTCAATTCTAACAGCTCATCTGTGTACTGTAGCCAACTAGCGGAATGCAAAGGAGATTTATTAAGGACCCAAGGCTTCTGATTCAAAAGAGAACGGGAGGTTAAGGTTAACCCTTCCTCCCTAAGCATTCCACCAGTACTTTTCCACGAAATAAAGTTTAATAGAATGTAACCTTAAACTGCTCCCCAGACAGTCAACATCTGCCTGGTAAAGAAGAAATTGGCTTGTTAATGGGAAGGCAGGTTTCCAGTTACATTTGCAATAGTCAGGTGATATGCCATTAGTCTGAAGAAGCAATGCAATTGTGAAAAGTTGGCAGTCGTTGAAGAGGACAAAAGTACTGCACCTTAAATAGTTATGCAGAACACGAAAATTCAGCAAGCCTCTTGTCACGCAAGCTAGTCTTGCTGGAATTTTTCTTTTGCATCCAGCAACCTAGATTTTTAGTGCTCTGTCCCATCCGGGGTGGGCTGCTGGGGGGTTCGCAGAGATTCAGGAAAACCTCTAGCTAAGATTCTGTGCAGTTTGGAGAACCCCCAAATCCCACACCTTGTTATGGCTTAAATTGGGCCCATTAATTTGGGCCAAAATTGTGCCCCATCGTTCGTTTTTAGTTATTGATTTGCTCAGCCTCTTCTCCAGCTTCTGAAAACAGCCCTGCAAATTGGTCAGGTGCGGCCCTGAGATTTCCTAGGCCCGTAATAACAGAAGGCAGGTATGCAGATGGGACAGGATCCTCTTCCTTTCCCTAGAGCAGGGGTGTCAAACTCAAGGCCCGGGGGCCGGATTCGGCCCGCTGGGTGCTTAGATCTGGCCCGTGGGGCTGCCCTGGAAACAGCAAACGACTGGACCGTGGTGACTCTGCAGGTGAAAATGGAGCTTGGAAGGGCTACATGGAGCCCTCCCGAGCTCCTTTTTCACTGGCAGAGGGTTGCAGGAGACTGTCGCAGCTGAAAACGGAGCTAAGGAGCCCGTTTTCTCTGGCAGAGTGCTCAGGCCACCACAGATGCCCCCAACATGAGTGACGTCGAGCTGGCCATGCCCACCCTGGCCACACCCACTCCGGTCCCCCGAGGTCAAACACAACCCTGATGCGGCTCTCAATGAAATTGAGTTTGACACCCCTGGACCAGTGGTAAAATCCAAATTTTTTTACTACCGGTTCTGTGGGCATGACTTGGTGGGCGTGGCATGGTATGGCTTGGTGGGCGTGGCAGGGGAAGGATATTGCAAAATCTCCATTCCCACCCCATTCGGGGCCAGCCAGAGGTGGTATTTGCCAGTTCTCTGAACTGCTCAAAATTTCCACTACCGGTTCTCTAGAACCTGTCAGAACCTGCTGGATTTCACCCCTGCCCTGGACTTGAGAATCCTAGAAAGAGTAGCCAAAGTATGCACAGAAGAAAGATGTGTGGGGGCATATTGAACAATGCAAGGTTTATCCTCTGAAATTATGATTTTTAGTCCTTTTAGTCCTTTTGTCCTTTCGCCTTGTTGTGTTAAAAAAGAATCAGCAGCAAAACAAGGAATAGCAAAAGCTATGTCCTTTTCTCCTTCTCCCTCCTCTATTTTAAGCACTGAGTATGGATGACTGCGAGTAAAATAAAAAAACACTGATAGTTCTCCACTTACAACAGTTTGCTTAATGACCGAAGTTACAACAGCAATGAAAAAAGTGACTATGACCGTTTTTCACAGTTACGACCTTTGCAGCATCCCCATGGTCATGTGATCAAAATTGAGACACTTGGCAACTGGTTCAGATTTATGACCATTGCTGTTTCCCAAGGTCATGTGATCCCCTTTTGCGACCTTCTGTCAAGCAAAGTCAATGGAGAAGCCAGATTCATTTAACAACCGGGCCACTAACGTATCAACTGCAGTGATTCACTTAACAACTGAGGCAAGAAAAGTCGTAAAATGGGGCAAAACTCATTTAACAAACTTCTCACTTACCAACTTAAATTTTGCGCTCAGTTGTGGTTGTATGTTGAGGACTACCTGTATAGATATGGTGACTGAACCATATAGATAGATACAGAAGATAGATAGACTGAACCCCCTCAAACAAACTGAACAATAAATAAATATAATTGGCTACCACTTTTTTTACACTTTGATCCTGGTTGGTTAAACTGTTCCACATTACCTTATCCTTGGGGAAAAAATGAAATGAAGCTACAGGGTAATTTTGCAAATAATGTTTGTTTTCTTATCCTATAAGGTGTTATGTTAACTTTGATGGCTGACATACAAATAATCTCTGAGATCAAATCTGTACTTACTAGGAAGCCCAGTACCAGGCTGGATTTGCTTGGACATATCCTTGAACTGGTTTACTGCAATGAAAAACACAAGAGATTAGAAGAATGAGAGCAAAATATGAAGCACTAAAACCCTTGATTGAGGAATTTTAACACTGACCTAATCGTCCTTCTAAGAATGCTTTTATAAATGATAAAGTACCACCCTGATTGCCTGCCTGCCTGCCTGCCTGCCTTTCTGCTGTGCTAGGAACAACAGATATTGATTGATGCTGGTTATGGCTAACATAGAAAACAAAATAGAACGCTCACTATGTTTGATTTATGAAAGTATTGTCAAATTTGGATTTTAATGCTTGATTAAAAATACCTCCCTTAAGAGATGCTATGATCTGAATATTTCTAAGTGGCCTTCCTTACTGCTTCAAATATGCACTAAAATAAAACATGATTGAGTCATGCAGTATAGATGTATGATTGGGGGCATAACATCAGAAAATTCTGCATGTTTAATTCCTCATTTGTAAAATGAGTATGAGAATATGGGAGGAGTAACATCAATAGGGAAAAAAATAGCAGACCAGAAAAGAAAAGCAGCGGCAAAAGGTTTGTTGTTAGGCAGGGTTGCTAGGACAGAGACTTACCAGAAAGTGAAGATGGCCACAATGCTGACGGTAACAAGGAGCTGAAGTAGAAGGATGCTATAAACCTAATATCAAAGAAGCAGAATAAATATCAGCCTGGTTAATGCTCAGCAATTATTCTGAGGATCTGATAATTAAAAAGCAAGCCAGATCCTATCAACCTGGTTCTACCACCCATTCTTTTTGGGGGAAGTTCACACATTATACTGTAATCTCCTTACGTGATCTTGTTCTGACCATTTCCATAAGGGCCATATAATCAATACTGGAAGAAAGGAGTTATTCATGTGGACAGGTGTCCATGTGAAGGAACTGTTTTATGTGTTGATGAGAACAAGATCCATGGGTGATGGTGCTACCTCCTATGAAGTAGAGAATACACTGTCAATCTATAATGGAATGTAATCCAGGGAGGGAGGGGTTCTTTCCCAGAGACAGTGGAGCTTTGAATGTCTGATAGGCAGGAAGAGGGCAGAGATGGACCTCCCAACTAACCATTCGCAGAGTAACATCTATAGTTATAATTGGTTTAGTCTGTCAAGATTTATGTCTGTAGATAACAACAATAAATAAACTACTCAAAAATAACTTCTTGTGTCGTTCCTGGTTCTTGGGGCCTGACAGAAACTCCCAGACAGCCACTGAGCCTACAAAGTCTTGAATCTAAGCCTAATATTCCCGAGTCTAACTCAAGACACAATTCCAGGCTCAAAGCTTTCTGTGGCTAGGAGTTTGCCAAAATTAGTTGGAATACCTTCAAGTCTCAGAGATTGGAGGAAACTGATGATCCAGATCTAAAACTAAGAGGCAGGAATTTTAGATGGCCTGAGGGCTAAAGTTTGAGTGTAATTTTAACAATTGTGATTTAATTTAGTAGACAATTGACCTTGGCGTTGATTATTATTTTTGAAGCCCCTCTTCATGACTGGACTCTTTCTGGAATCTGCCTCTGATTCTATCTGATGTTGTATCTTTGTTCTAACACCTGTTCTTGATCTTGCACTTCTTTCTGACCTGCATAAAATGAACTAAGACCTTGCAACCTACCATTCTTCCTCGCTAGTGATTAAGCGTTGAGTTTGGTTTGGTCTTAATTGCTTTGACATTACCTTCCTGATGAATACTCTGCGCACATTCTGGTCATCCCAGCTGAACGTTGTGAGGGTCTCAGTTTCCCCTGAGTATCCACTTCCATAGTTAGGACTGGAATCTGAAACAGGTGGAAAATAAAGAATTTGTCTAAGCAAAGGGGTATGTCATATAAGATGAGACTGTGCTCTTCCTTACTGAAATTTATGGTCTGAATATTTATTTTGCACAAAGTTTCAGGTTTAATTTTAATTAAATTGAATTAACCTATTATCTGATTTTTTTTCTGAGCTAATCAAAGTATTGAAGGCAAATTATACCTCCATAGGAACCATGAAAGTATAGAAGTCTATGTTATGGACTGATTAGCTCTTCTGGCTGGTTTCAGCAGCCCACATTCATTCTGGGATGTCTATCCACTACATACAGAATACAGAATAACAGAGTTGGAAGGGACCTTGGAGGTCTTCTAGTCCAACCCCCTGCCTTGGCAGGAAACCCTACACAACTTCAGACAAATGGTTATCCAATATCTTTTTTAAAATTTCCAGTGTTGGAGCATTCACAACTTCTGGAGGCAAGTTGTTCCACTGATTAATTGTTGTCAGGAAATTTCTCCTTAGTTCTACGTTGCTTCTCTCCTTGATTAGTTTCCACCCGTTGCTTCTTGTCCTGCCCTCAGGTACTTTGGAGAATAGCTTGACTCCCTTTTCTTTGTGGCAGCCCCTGAGATATTGGAACACTGCTATCATGTCACCCCTAGTCCTTCTTTTCATAAGAAACGTGGTATTAACACTTCACGTGATCTTGATTCTATCCCTCTGTTTATGCAGCCTAGAACTGTGTTGGGTTTTTTGGCAGCTGCTGCACACCGCTGGCTCATATTTAAATGGTTGTTCACTAGGACTCCAAGATCCCTCTCACAGTTACTACTATTGACCGAGGTACCATATATACTGTACCTGTGCATTTTGTTTTTTGTTTTTTTGGGTTTTTTTGCCTAAATTTAGAACCCTACTTTTTTCACCATTGAATTTCATTTTGTTAGATAGCGCCCAATGTTCAAGTCTATCAAATCTGTAACTTAAGCCCATCTTCCAGAGTGTTGGCTATTCTTGCTAGCTTGGTGTTGTCTGCAAATTTGATGAATTCACCATCTATCCCATCATCCAAATCATTGATGAAGATGTTGAAGAGTACTGGGCCTAAAACAGAGCCTTGGGGTACCCTACTGCATACTTCCCTCCATATAGATGCAGTTCCATTGAGGATTACACATTGAGTGCTATTGATCAGCTAGTTATGAATGCATCTGGTGGTGATGCTGTCTAGCCCACATTTTTCTATTTTATTTAGTAGTAGGTTATAGTCTACTTTATCAAATGCCTTACTTGTACTTCAGATATAACACAGTTTTGATGAAAACTTCCCTCCTTCTATCCACACCCCATTCTCCTTTCTTCTGAAATCACTTGCAGGTAATGGCAGTCAGTCTTCTATAGGGAGATATTTCCTCCCCCCTATGGAGCTCAAATAATGTTGGAGGAAAGTCATGCTAATTCACGGTACCAAAAAGCAAGAGGAGTCTGGCCATACTTTTTCTCATTAACACATTTTATTCAAAGTCATACACTTTTGTGAGTTACATCGCACTTCATTCCCTGCACCAAGTCAGGCATTGTTTTCCTATGCCAGTAATGGCCAGCTATGACAGAAATGGCCTTCAGAGGTAGACCATTACTCTAAAACAGTGTTTCTCAACCTTGGCGACTTGAAGATCGTCGGCCATGCCAGCTGTGGAATCCTAGAAGTCCACATATCTTCAAGTTGTCTAGGTTGAGAAACACTGCTCTAGAATACTCACACCTGTTTCTTCTCCCAGGGCAGTTGGGCTCAGAAAATGATGAAAGTCCTCCCAGCCATTCATTGAATTAGCAAACTGTGATGGTGCTTCCCTTCCATACTTCATAGGACTGTTGGACTCCATGAGGAAGAACAACAAACAAAGCCTCCAACCCAGCTGATCAAAGTAGTTGTGACAAGAAATGGTGATTCCCTCTGCCTGCTTCTAACTTATTATCAACAATATAGTACAACATTCCCACAGTATTCAAAAATAACCAGAAAATCACCGCGATCCATTGAGCCTTTAGCCCTAATTGATCAATAGTGGTATCCATGTGATTAATTTTTATTTTTTTAATCTCACCTACCGTGAGTCTTTTGACTGGGGAACCTTATAAAAGCTGCAAATAAACAAACTGAACCTATCTTGATATACTTTATTTTAAAACGATGTTTCGTTCCTATAAATTGGATATCACACAATACTGTACTAACAACTAATAAATGTGGACAGGGAAGGGGAGAAAAATATACCAATTTTAGTATGAGATGGGTGAATCTGCCATTCTTATATTCAGGTAGGAGTGCAAATGAAACTAGACTTGGGTTTTTGAACATCTCCAGTTGTGGCAACTCCCACAAATTTATATGAAATGCCTACTTAAGAGAAAACTCTATATCATGAGTGGACTAGTGAAATGGCACAGAAAATGTGAGGGGAAAGTGCAGAGAGATATATTTTTCACCTGGAAATATGCATGCACATGTACATATATGATTGTTTGAATCTTTTACGAACAGCTAATTTCCAGCTGAGGCAGAAACAGGACAGAACCAACATGCCTTGAAAATAATAAAGTCATGTAAGGAAAAAGAAGCACCATTGACCATCTCTCTATACAAATAAGAGTATTTTACAATTCTAAAGAGATAAACACACATTTTAAAAATTAAAATCTAAGTAGGATATCTAGGGTTTTTTTTTTTAATTGCCATTCTATTAAGTCTATTTTAGATTTTTAAAAAAGAGATTCCCTGTTTTATACCTTGCTTCTGAACTATGTGGGTTCTGTGCATTTGAACCCTGGACATACGAAGGAATAGGGAAAGAAAGAATAAACTTGAATTTACTTTTGAGGCTGAAGTACATGGAAAGTTCCCATCTCCTAGATGGGCAATTTTAAAAGATGTCACAGGTGACAGTATCAGAGGTCAAAGATCTAATGAAAAAGAAAAATGTCAAAGATGAACCTGGAATGACTTTGAAAACTGCATGTTCCAGTTCTGCTGAAAGATCTGACCCACAAGCTGCAAAGAGGGATCAAAAGGCCACAAGACAAGGGGAGTCTGGGCAGACGTTGTCCTCTTGGGATCATGTGAAGATCTCAAGAAAGCAACAACTTCATGATTTGTTTAGGCTCCAGTGACGTGTGAAACTGCAAGAACTGCATGCCAAGGTCATGTGATTCGTATCACAGAAATCACGTTTCTGTTTCAACTATTCCATTAACATTCTATCTATTGAAACACTAAACAGCTAGTCCTTGACTTACTGCTGTGATTGAGGCTGGACTTATGGTTGTTAAGTCATGCCTGATTTTATCCCCTTTTTTTGCGGCAGTCATTAAGCAAACTCCGCAATCATTAAACAAACATGGCGGTCATGAAGCAAACCCATTGTGCGAAATCGAATTTGGGTCGGTCACTGGGACCACAGATTTATTCTTCTGAGCTTTCAGACTCATGCTGAAGCCCATCTTCAGGGAATTCCTCTACTGGAATACGTGCTTTGGGCTGTTCGGTGATTCACGTTTACGTGGTGTTTTTCTGTTGTCTGATTGGTGTGTTGATGGCTAGCGATTGGCTGTCGTTTCCTTGTGCTGCTAAGCCAGCGGTGAAATCCAGCTGAACCTATCCAGCTCGCACGAATTGGTAGCACCAGCAGCGGGAGGCTCCGCCCACCCGCTGGGACGTCATTACGACCCATTTTTGACCCTCTGCACATGCACAGAAGGCTCTATGTATGCACAGAAGAGACGCACACACGCTCTCATTTCCAAACTGGTAGCGAAGGTAAGTGGATTTCACCATTGTGCCAAGCACTCAGCTCCTAAATATTTGATAGGCTGGTGATAATTCAGCATTCCTGTTGACTGACAAGGGGCCTGTTTCCCAGGCTTCAATCACTTCCCTGGCTGTTTTTGTGCCTGCTCATCCAACAATCTTGATTAGCTACAAATCTGAATGTGTGTCCTTGTTCATTGCAATGGGCAATGTATCCAATGGGTGTTTTTTTGCTAGAAACGCTGGTTTCAGGCAAAAGACATTATAAATTACAATCACGTGACTGCAGGATGCTGCAAAAGACTGTAAATGCAGGTCAGCTGCCAATTGCCCAAAATGTGATCACATGACCACAAGGAGGTGGGCAGGCATTAGAACTTCAAAGTTAGCTTGTAAGTAGCTCTGGGGTGGTCTGTCATAACTTCAAATAGCTGCTAAGTGACCAGTTTTAACCCGAGGACTACCTGTAATGCTATTGGGGTGGATGAGAGGGTTGGTTTTCTATGTATTAAATGTCACGAAAAGAACCCATGCCTTGTGGGGAGGGGGGGTGGCTACAATAACACTAGCACTTAGACTTATATACCGCTGTACAGTGCTTTACACGGTGCCTCTCTAAGCGGTTTACAGAGTTAGCCTATTGCCCTCAACAACAATCTGGGCCCTCATTTTACCCACCTCGGAAGGATGGAAGGCTGAAGCAACCTTGAGCCTGGTGAGATTTGAACTGCCAAATTGCAGTCAGCCAGCAGTCAGCAGACATAGCCTGCAATAATGCACTCTAAGCACTGTGCCATCATGGCACAAATAAATTTTGAAGCAATAACTTTCTTTTATCACTATACTTAATCATTGGCATTTGGCAGAGATTCCATCTCACTACATTGCGTGAAGTGAGCTGTAGCTCATTAAAACCTATGTCTTTTAATGCAATTTGTTAATCTTTTAATGCAATTTGTTAATTGATACCAAAAGATTCCACAATTCTGCATCAAGAAGGAAGAGGGATTCTGGGAAATTAGGCAGAGAAAACACAGCAGGGGGTTGGCAAAACCATTGATTAACTTCCCATATTGGGGCTCAATATTAGGGATCCACATTCAGGAATCACGACAATATAATTGTAGGGATGGTTTTGTTGCCAGTCCAGGATGATTTACAGGAAGCCAAAAGCAGTGGATTGGAGATTAACATCACCATCATCACTACCAC